AACGTAAACGAACACAAGAGTATGCAGCGGAAAACAAACACACAAGCACGTTTACGGGCAATGCCCAACCTTTATATTAATTCCCACAACGAATACAAAGGAGACTAAGGTGCACACACAAAATCCTCACTCAGAATTGCCCAACAATTGCAATCTGAACTCTCATATGCTAGATGATACTAGATGCCTCGGATTTGTGCACTCATAGCCCAATAAATACAAGGAAAATGTAGTTTTCACACAAAACTACCTAAGGACACATGGCAGCATACAAACATGACACTTGGCTAACTATTACAAGTAATAAGGGGCAGTTTTCTTGCATTTCCAGGCCTCAACCGCTCCGTAACTTCCCTCAAATCCGCCCAAAAGGCTGATTTCCGAAGCCCAACTTGACCGGGCGCGCCCGTGCGCGCCAAACGGCCCAAACAGCCCGGCCGGTTGCTAGGCAGCCCATCTGCCTTGCCTTTTCCGCACGTTTGCTTGCCTTTACCGATTACTTGCCAGTTCTTTGCCCACACGGTCATCGGCACACCCGCTCATCGGGCTGCCTTGCCAATTTTTCCCACACTTGTCAAGTCGTGGTCGATTTCCCTCGAACGTTCGTTTGCCCACGTTATCGGCCGCATGCCGATTATTGTCCACGTTTGTCCGCATTGCTGCCGAGCAACGCCCGTACCAGCCACAAGTACTTTCGATCACCGTTCCCACTTGAATCAAGCCGATCCTTACTTTCTCGGCCAAGCACCCCGAATGCTTGCCGAACGCCCGACCACTCATTGGCCGGTTGTGTGGCTGCCTTGTGCCAATCCCCACTTGGCACCATTTATCGGTCATGACTCGGCCACACTCGAGTCATTACCGATATCACCGATTAAGGGGGTAACAGACTAGTATAGTGTCCATATTCGCCTTGACCCTACAAAGAAAAAAAATGTCAATTTTCCAAATATTAACAAAAAAAAACATAAAATTAATAGTTTATTATTATTATTATTATTATTATTATTATTATTATTATTATTATTATTAATACAAATCACATCATCAGGAGAGAATGCAGCTCAATTGAATTTGTAGTATGACGAAATCCGTGTGTATTAAATGTGATGGTTGGACCACAAAATCCAACATAAATCTTTTATATATCCCAACGCATTTATTCGAACAATTAACTCATTCAATGCAGTCCACATCTAACCATTTTGTGTTTATGCTTATTGTAGATACTAACGCCTCATTTGCTTGCCACTATCAGATTAAATTACATTGACTAATTTTATCTTGTCATCCAAACGAGGTCTAATAATGTTATATCTAATAGTAAGAGAGAAAGTTGTCCGAATTCGTGAGTTCAAATAAAGCCAAATTAAATTGTTTGTCGAAAAATATATGTCGTCCGTAAATTGACAGCTCATCGCAGGACAGGTGGACCACCTGAATTTTTTTTTTAACCACAGTGGCAAGCAGCATTATACAGCCAAAACCCTCTTCTTTTTGTGCTTATTTGGGTATCAAAAATATATATTGCAATTCTGCATTACATATGTTATATGTATAATTGTAGAGCTCTACAAGATATCTTTTCGAATAGAGCCATTTGTTTTTTTATTGGTGGGGTGAACATTATTTTTTTAGTATTGGAATAAAGCTAGAGTTAAAATCACAAAATAAAAAATAATCTTTGAATTTGCAATGTGTATGACACCATGTACTATTAATTGTCCTAAAATTAATTATTGGTAGAAAATGCGCCAACCTTAGTCTTGTAGTGCATTCTGCATACACAAATGTCTATGACATTCGATTGTGACCATTCACACTTAGGTCTCTACCACGTGGGCGATTGATGCCTAATGTGTATAACTAATTGAGTTTCGTCCCATTTAGAGGGAAAAACCCAATTAGCACTTTAAATTATATTCTTCCTAACCCCCCGAGATTAAGGATGAAATCACCTTGTCCCATATTGGTTTTCAACAAGAAAATCACATCAAACTCCACCTATAAATATGTACTATCATTCTCATAATAAAAGTACGTGATATTTGGTAATTAGTTAAGTTATTTGCTTATATTGTGATAGTTTTCTGAAGTGAGCATCGGAGGATATATAATCTTCGGGCGACCCCCAATGTATTTCAACTATTTTGGAGGTTAACGAGCGAATCCTTCCCTTCAACTTGACTAACCTCGTCTTGACTTTTTTTGTTAGAATTTCTAAATAATATGCATTCTCATAGAATTTTGGAGACTCCATTAAGAATATTTAATTATCTTCTTAGGCCTCTTTGGTTAGAATGATTAATCATTATTAACTAAATACTTGAACTTTGTTTGATGTTCAGTATCCTACTATCTTTAATAACTTGTCAGATCGACCCACAAATATTATGTTACCGTCTTGTCTTATCTTGCCTTTTAGGTAGCATTTTTATTGGACGTCTCGAAGTCCAATAAAAATAATTGGATTTTCATTAAATTATTTTGTCTTAGCAACCAACCGATGCCTTATTCTATAATAATATATGTAATTATAAGTCGAGCTATTCGAGCTTGATATAAAATAGGGCTAAATACAGTTTGCACCCTTAAAGTATAGGGTTGGTAATACTTACCCCCTTAAAGTTACAAATGCAACACTTACCCCCATTAATGAATTTAATAGTAAAAATATGACTTTGAATGATGTGAAATTTTTTCTTCCCAAAATGTCATTCTAGCCATTATATAAATAATGAATATGTAATAATAAAAAAATTCGGCAACTTGATTTTATTATTTCAGTATTGTAAATTTACGAATGAAAAACATTGAAATTTAGTTTCATTTTTGTTTTACTTTATGTTCATTTGTAGCTAATACAAAGTTAACAATTATTCGAATTTTAATTATGATTTTTTAGTTTATATAGTTATTTTAATGAGTATATGACTCTTATATAATCACCGCACTTTTTACTTTGAGAATCACAAAATGTATTCAAAAGTTAATAAGAATCATAATTTGAACGTCTAAATATTTCAATATTTTTTTATTGAAATTTAAATTTAAGTAACTGAAATAAATTTTCAAATCAATAATTATTATAAAAAAAGTTAGACGTTTAAGTCTTGAAAATATTTTTTTCTTGCAAATGTTTAACGTATTTTATATATTTTTTAAATAATTGAGATTTTTATTTATATTAGGGTCTATAGCAATTAAAATGTGGAGTTAAACGTAAATCAAAATATTTTTTTTAATAATTATTATATTTTATAAAATTTGGTTTTTGAAATATTATTGAAAATATATTATTATATATGCATCAATATAATAGTTAGAACTTAGAAGGACAATTTGGGAGGAAAAAATGCCACATCATTCAAAATCAAAGTTTTACCATTAAATTCATTAATGAGGGGTAAGTGTTACATTAATAATAATAATAATATGTACAACTTTTATCATATAGATGTCAAATATAATTGTGCCAAGTGTCTATTTCCAGCCGAGTTGTACACTAGTGCCAGATTCATGGTACAACCAAATCATGCAGACGGAATAAAAAATCGTATTACATTAAATAACATTATTTGTAATGTCTAGTGAAGAAAGGCAAAGAACAAGTACATGTCAAATAATTGCACATAATTATATGGTCGTGGAATTGAATGAAGTTTTTTTTTAAAACAAAGAAACACCAACTAAAAGATGTAACTTATCTGCACCTATAATAGGTGCTAAGTAATAAAAAAAAAAAAGAAAAAAAAAAAAAAAAGGAGAAAAAAGAAAAAGATAAAAAAGAAAGAAAGAAGAACTGGCCAACTTTCAATAGTTCTAGCGATAATGCAAACCCACTCTTTAAGTACATTAATTTGAAATTATGGTTATCAATCGGTATATGGGAAATGCGAGTCGAGCTTGAGTTGACTCAAACTTATATAACATCGGACCTCATTATTATAGATTCACGCTCATTTGACATTGCGCCTTATTGCTATAGGCTCAAATTTGACTCATGTATTTTTTCGATATTCGGGTTTATATCTATGGCTTATATCGAACAGTGTATAAATTACATATTTTACCATTTTGCAGCCGAACGTGTTCCATAAAAAAAAAAGTTAACCTTTGCCCTCGAAGAGCAAAACGTAGAATATTCATGAATAGCAAAATACGATAAAAATAAAACGTTTCTTGAAACAAAAGACGTTTAACGTCGCAAATGGTAAATCCTGAAGTAATTATAGGACCAAAAATGCATCACGAGTCAAAAATAAAGAAATATAAAACAAATGGAAGTAATTTGTTTAGAACTTCTAACTCTTTTCTGGACGTCGAAACATATCATAAAATTAATTACTATACTATTTATTTAATTATTATCTCAATCGGACCAACCTTATTCGAGTTGAGCTATTAGGCTCAAACTCGACTGATAAACGAATTAGATTTAGTAAAGTAGCTCCAACTTGGCTTACCTCACAAAAAGTCAAAAACTAAGATTCACCTCAAATATAATAGGGCGGAGCCCTCGAGCTTCGAGCTTCGAGCTTCGGTTAGACCCGATTCAGTTGCCGGACCTACATATAGATATATGTCTACGAAGTGGTAATATATATATGGTTTTAATAGGTATATGCTTGAATTTAATTATATAAGAAGTTTATTATATAAAATATTGTAAAGTACAAAATTAGAGTAATCCCATTTGTAATCGCCGGTTGATGCAACATCTATCTACACTATAAAGAAGCCAACATAAATCCTTTATTCGAATTTGTTTATATACCTAATTCAACTTTGCATCTCACGTGTGCCTAATTAACTAAAGCGTGAGCCACAAACAAAAAGATTTACGAAAATACCAGAAGCTTATAATAATAAATAATAACTATTATAATAATAATAATAATAATAATAATAATAATTTATCATTTCATTTACCGCTGATAATCAACAAAACATAAACTCAGATAAATAAAATTAAAAAAAAAAAAAAAAAAAAAAAACAGCAGATGGCTAAGGATATACTATATAGGCGTTTCTAATTTACTGCTAATTCTCAAAACTGCCGAAAAACTCAGCAAGATTTTGGTGCTGATTTTTCATATTACGGTGTCGTTTCGGTGTTCTCAAAGGGCAATTAGAGGATCCGACCCGAATATGTCACCGAAGTCTTGTAGGAAACAATCCGGCTGCCAGCTGGACGATCCGAATCTGAAACCCAAATCAGTATCCGACCCGATAAGCATATCGCCGCAGCAGTCAACATCCATACCAAATATATTGTCCGAAAAGCTCGCCCCGTCAAACAAGTCGGGTACGGTTACCGGGTTTTCGAAATCCCGGAAAAAATCCATCGGGAATATCGAAGTATCAGATTCGCATTTATCATTCACTGAAACGGGGTCGTTTGACGAGTCGGCTTGTGACTCGGCGGCCGAGACGAACCGGAGGACCGACTTGGGTGATTTGACAATGTTGTTGTGGGAGTCTTCGCTGGAGTTGTACCCTGAGCTTGTGTTGTTGTACTTCAGTGGCGGCGGCGGCGGTGTGGGTTGTGGTGGTGGTGGTGGAGTGGAGAAATTAGTGAGCGCGTCTGGACCACGCAGCTTGATGGCCGCGTGGTCGTACACCATGGCAGCCTCCTCCGCCGTGTTGTAGGTTCCCAGCCACAGCCGTGCACGTTGCGAGGGGTCGCGAATCTCCGCCGCCCATTTGCCCCACGGCCTACGGCGCACGCCGCGAAACTTCCTAGCATTCCCCACCTCCGCCGTGCTCTCTACGCTTCCGCCGCCGCCGCTCTTCCTCCTCTGCTTCACCAAACTCACAGACGGCACGCCGTTAGCATTTCCGTTACCGTTACCGTTACCGTAATCTCTGCAGGGGGGCTGTATCCTGACCTCGTTAATAAATTTTCTGACTCTCTGTCGGCGCTTGGCAGAACACCGTCCCTCTTCGTCACTGGAGGAGTCGGTGGCGTCGGCATCCGTAACGGAAATCCGTACAGTCCTTCCGGCCATCCCAGCCGGAAAAGTCCTCCTTCCGCCGGAAACAGAATATTCCGGCATGATAACGGTCGTTGTCTGGCTCAAATGTTCACTGTATTTGACTAACTTCCCGGACAACATGGTTTGTTCCTCTGGTTGAAGCATGGGGGAAAAAAAGGGGGAAGATGTTTCTTTTTTTTTCTTTCTTTTCAGATTCGCATTGAAAGCGAAAGGGATTTGATAGAGAGAAGGAAAAAAGAGGATTCTCTGAGAATAAAGAGAAAGAGCAACGTTAAAGAGAAGTCTCCGGACAAAGAAAAAAAGGAAATTATCTCAGATTATTACGAAAGTTTGACGAAAGTAATACTTTAAAAGAACCACTCTGTGTGTCTGTGTGTGTGTTTTAGAGAGAGAAAGCTAGAGAGAGAGAGAGTTTGAAGACTAATTAAGATGAGAAGAGACAAAGTTGGTGGAAAACAGAGAGAGAGAGAGAGAAAAGAGAAAACCAGTAGTACCGTACCAGTGCTTAGAAACCACTCACACACAGTGTGTGTGTGTGTGTAATTCTAGAGAGAGAAAGTGAGAAGTGGGAGGAGCGAGAGGGGGGAATCAAAAATCTTTATCATCCAGAATATTTAGAATAAAACCCGGATGGGGAAAAATGGATTCCTCTGCTTCTTTTTGATTTGGAGATTTTGGTGGAAGAAAGTGTAGGAGAGGAAAATTGAGTAGTCTTCTCTTCGGGAGGAGTGACTGTTTACACTGTATAGTGTGTGTGTGTGTGTTTCTAGACAGAAGAGAAGAAAGGCTTTGGATAAAGAGCTAGAGAGAGAAAGAGAGAGAGTGAGAGAGTGTGTGTGAATGTACGTGTGTGTGTGTGTGTGTTGAGGTGGAGGCTGAAATATATTTGTTTACCTCTGGCCGCGGTGGATATCGGTTAATTATTTAACTTTTTTTATTTTTTTATTTTTTTTATTTCTCTGATAAATATCTACACCGTATTGTGTTTAATTTTGAAAAGTTTTTGAGAAAAAAAACAAAATTACTATATTTTTTAGCCGTGTTTGGTTGCTAAAATAAAACAAAATAATTTAATAAAATCTAATTGAAATTATTGGAACTTGGATTATTCAATTAAAAAGATGTCTAGAAGAAGGTAAGATAAATTATGATAATATAAGAACATCTCCAAGAGATGTGCTATATGCTAAATTTTAGCAAATTTTAAAACTATTGATAAAAAAAAGTAGAGATACACTTGGTATATTATAAGTTCCATTCTTTAAATTTGAAAGACTAAAATTGTGAAATGGCAAAAAAATAATAATAAAATATTATAATTATGTATAAAAAACATATTGTACTAATTAATGTGTCAGAAGTGATGTTTTACTGTGACGTGTTAAAATATAAACGATCACTGCAGGAGCGAGTCTTAAAAAATAGTGTGCTAAAACACTGTTTATTGATAATTTGATAAAAAAATGATAAATTTTAGAATAGCTGCTGGAGTTGCTCTAATATTTACAGTTAACTCCACAAATTATTAGAAATACTAAACATTAAACTAAATCGAGTTATTTAATAAATAAGTAATTTTCCTAACCAAACGATGTCTAAGGATATAATAATTTGAATGTATATAAATGTACATACGTATATTATATTACATACACCTGTTTTTCTATGTAGTTGCACTTGAGATGTGAATGGGATATGATGAGTAGTAAATTGAAATAAATGAATAACGGCCCGACTATTGAATTATCCTACCATTATATCAACCTATACAAAAATCATTTAAACATAGAGATTGTTAATTAATGGGCTACTAAGTAAGTGTATATCCAAAGTTCAAATTTTAACAAAATTATATCATGTAGAGCTAGTGGCAAAACGTATCTATTCATATTTGAAAATCATGCAAGGATCATTGTCAATAATTAATTTTTTTTGAATAAATTAAGTTGTTGAGCACATTGTATCTTATCGTTAAGGGGTGCAGATAAGCCGAATTCGAGCGAAGTTTGGTTGTTTTAGCGAACTCGAGTTCAAGCTCGAGTCCAATTTAATGAGCTCGGGCTCTTCGTGTTTGATATTTTAGGCTCGGGCATGAGCACATTTTGTGTGTTTTTTTTTTGAATTTTTTTTAATGTGTATTATGAGGTTTTATTATTATAAATTATAATAAAAAATGAACTCTAATATATATTTTAATTTTTTATATGAATTTATTATTAATTGTATATTAATTAGACTTATAATAAAAATAAAACTTAAATAAAAAAAGGCTCACGAGCACAGCTGATCAGAAAACTCGGGCTCGAGCACGAAGTTCAAGTTCACCGAGCTCACGAGCCCACTTATAGTGATGAACTTAAAATCCAAGTTATTTCAAATTCAAAATATTTGAAAATACATTCATTTCAAATCTTTGAATTCAAATATATATAGTAAAAAAAAAAAAAAAAAAAAAAAGGTTAATTGTTGTTTTTGGTTTTCCCATGCATGAAAATTGTTGCAATTTATTAAAAGTAATCCTTTTTTTTTTTTTGGTTTAACGCTTAACGACGTTTTTAATTAAGGTTAAGTGACTTGTTAAAGCAGCCGCCGTATGTGATAGGACCTTTGATTAAGGTTTTCTCCTTCTCACACCGTTTCTCGGTGTACGAGATTCAAGTCACGTGATAACCGGCGAGGCTGACGGTTCTGTTAACTTTTGTCAGGAGTGCTAATTCGTCAGTCCATCTTTGACTGCCATGATTTTTTAACCGCATATCTCTAACGGCATGGCTAATCACTTAACTACTAATTAAAATTAATTAATCATTGTTCTTCTTTCCTAATTAATCTCTTCTTTTAGGGAGAAAAGTGGGGGGCTGATTCGTCATTTTCTCTTGATTTTCGCGCCGGATTGCTGGGTACCGTTATGGGTGCTGACTCATGAGCTACTGTTACTTTTTTTTTTTTTCTTGGTTCAATTATTTATATACATTACAAAATATTTCTTATTAGTACACATCATTTTAAAAGTTTCATTTATTTTATTTTAATTTCGATAATAGCTTGAATAATTGTTTATTTATCAAATAGTAATTTATTTTGAGACCTCAAAACGAAACGAAATTATTTATCCAACTTTATTTTATAAAGATTCAAATTCTATTATACTCGAGGGATGAACGACAACAACGTCTGCTGTTGCATTTCTTATATAACTAGGGATGTGATTGAGTTGAGTCGGCTGATTATCGACGTAACAATCTACGCATTCGACAACTTGATTTTGCTAAAATTTAAAAATTATTGTTGACTCAACTTTTTTAGTACTGTTGGCAATCGAATAATTGGTTCCGTAATGGGTACTATGCAAATTCTAACAGATGACGCTATACCTTCACTATTTATTAGTTCAAAGTAATTAATAACAATTCAACAAAAAATATAATTACGTGCAAAGCTTTATGTCAACTTTCGTCCTTTAAAAGAAATTAAGTTACTAAAATATATTGATATTTTTTTTGTTGATATATGCAAGTCTCAGTTGTGACTCAGTTGAAATAATTTTAATATTTTACGTGGAGTTTTACTCACTTGCAAATAATCACACCCTTTATTGAGAAAGCAAAATTATATTTTAATAAAATTTTATTAATATAGTCAGTTGGATGATATTTTTTTGTTAAACGATTTTTAATTTTATTAGAAACCATCAACCGATGTTATAGATGAATAACTTTATTCTCATGCAGATTTATTATCGGGCTGGAAAAATGGATTGTTAATGGGTCGATTGGTGGCTAAAATCAACCTAGTTCGGGCCTTAATTAAAATGATAATTTACCTATTCTTCTAATTATTATTATTATTATTATTATTATTTCTATTTCTTTTCTTTTTATTTTTTTTTTAATTTTGTTTTCTGTTTTTTTATTTGTTTGTTATCACTTCAATCTGTGGCAATATTTTTTCAGCTATTAGTTGAAAAATAATATATTGTTTTTAAACTATTGTTAGATTAATTTAAATAATTTTTTTTCTTTTTCTTTTTTATAATATTTTCTTACTGCAACATAGCCAGTATTAAACGTGGCAGGCAACATAGGGTTTGATGCATTAATATTAACAATACTTTTTTTTCCACAAGTATTTATAGCAAAAGAATGGCCATTCAAAAGTCCATTCCTACCTCTTCCATGAATCAATCTAGACTGTACACGTGTCTTCTTAATATATGCCTCACCGTTTCCAACTTTATCGGTTCATTCCAAATTAAAAGGACAAAAATTAAAAAAAAAATTATCAAGCACGGTAAATTCCAGAATCACCGTCGTACTTGATTCGATATCACTTTCCCCCTTTTCATCTCAATTGCATCGATTTGACCTCGTACTTGAAAAATTGTCTATGGCCATCTTCGTTAGTTTTTTTAGACATTTGACCTTAACACCGTTTGATCTAAGTGTGAAAATTATAAAATAAAAAAAACCGCCCCTCCCAGTTTAAATAATTATTAATTTCTTTTTCAATTTAAAAAAAAAAAAAAAAAAATTGTGGCTGCCATCGTGGACTATGCTTTCTGGATTTCTTGAAATTTTTATTATTTGTATTTTTTTATTTATTTTTTATTTTTAATAATTATTTAAACTGAGAGGGGTGGTGTTTTTGTAATTTCAGAGCTTACACCAAACGATTTTAAGGTTAAATGTATGACAACTAACACCGAGGTCCACATTGAGAAAAAAAATCCAAATACATGGAGCAAATCTATGCATTCGAGAGTAAAATGGAGTAAAATAATATCGAGCCAAAGTATGAGGGGAAGTGTAATTTATCCTTAAATCTAATTGTTGTTGGACATAATACAAATTTTAAAAACTAAGAATTAAATTATTGAACAAAAATCTTAGTAAATCAATGAACAATAATTACAATAAGAAATACTCCATAAAAATTTAAAATTATTACAACTAAGAAAATATTTAACAAAATCAATGAATTCCAAATAATTAATTATTTTTTTAATTTCCACACCATTAATTTTCATTATCTATTACAATATATATTATTTTTCATTGTTTTTCCGATAATTTAACTTTAGTTACTTCTCAATTTTATTTGATCCAATAATTATTAGATTATTATGTTATCTCTCCTACCAAAGAAATATACAATTTAAAATTTAACATATTGCATTGACTTTTTAATTAATATTTTTGATAAGTTATTTGAATTATTTTTCAATTATTTCATCTAATGAAAGTGGAAATATATTAAGTATTATTATTTGAATTATATAGGTGCATTGGGTAAGACTACAGTCTTGTATAATAGTTTGTAATTTACGCGAGAGATGTAAACCGCACTAAACTAACCATGCGTGACAAGTTCAATCTAGTGACCGTTGGCAAGAGAATTTGAACTAGGATTAATCAACACATTACTAAATTTTGTTGCCAAGAAGTAGAAAATTTTGTTTTCTTGAAAACATTTACTAAATTAATTATAACATTCCCTAAGAAGAAAACCGGACAAGAACACAAATAAATTGGATGATAAATACTTACACCCTAATTATTTCAACTTAATTATTGAGGCGTTCACAATTAATTCAATAGTTAAGATTGCACCAAGATTTTGATATCCACCATCAATAACTATTTAGTGATGTAATAATTGCTCTGTCAAAACTATGAGTAATTCGTATATCTAATGTTTCTAAACTATTAATATCCCCTCTCAACAATTTGGGTTATTACTTGGGCGGTAAATTGATCGAACAATAACAAATTGAAAAATCGGTACGTGCTGAATACCGAATCGAAAATTTGGTATGATATTCGGTATTTTTTTTTTAATTTCGGTATTCAATACGGTATACGTTATTGATGTCTGGTATATACCATACCGTACCGAATACCAAAATATGTAATATATATTTACTCTTTCT